ATTTTACTATATCAACCTCATATTTGGCTCTACGAGAGAGTCTGCTTTGAAAACCGTTGGCACATTTTTTGGCAAATAGTTTAATGAAAACTATTCGTTTAGAAAACTCCTCAGTATTGTCTTAGTTCTGCCTCTCTGTCCTCAGGCACCTTTGTGATATTGGTGGCAGGTGGATTCGCAGGTGTGGTGACCTGGTCCTTCGCCACGCCCATGGACGTCGTGAAAGCTCGGCTCCAGATGTCGGGGGCCGGCGGGCGGGAGTACGGCGGCGTCCTGCACTGCATGAGAGTGAGCGTGAGGGAGGAAGGAGTGAGGGTGTTTTTCAAAGGCCTCCTGCTGAACAGCCTGAGAGCATTTCCGGTCAACGCTGTCACATTCCTCAGCTACGAGAGCCTGATGAAGATTTTTTATCCACCACGAGCCAGTCACTCTTCACAGTAAAGGGATGGAGACACTGACTTCAAGGATAAAATATCTTTGAGACGATTTCAGTATAAAGAGTGTTCTCAGTTACTAAATGCTGTTTTTAAACTGCCTGTAGAATAAGTCAAAGCATCAGAAACCTGGGACCACTTTAAATTCAACCTACTGGTGAGGAAAGATTAGCTGCTGCCAGTGAGCCTCCTGCTACACGAGTATACACACTTTAGATCAAAACTGCTACAGTCAACATTTCTGCATTAACAGCATATCACAATAAAAGCGATGACTTGAAATGACTCCATAAAATAAGACCTTTTGAGTTTGTTTTTTGGGTGAGTGACAGATGTTGTATAAAACGTTGAGTCCACAAGTACAGTGCTTCAAGGATTGGCCCGAGGGCAGAAAAGGCTATGGCAAGAAAAGTAAATATTGGCGAGGAAAGATTTAATTATTACTTTAGGAGACGATGCTTTAGTGCTCTGTCAACATATTTCTCAGTGTTAAAATAACTATCAAGAAGAAATCTTGTGCACACGTGCAAAAAGTGGATACACTTTACATACCGGAAACATATCGATTGGGCAACGACCTGGAAACTCTAAGGGATTTTGTTCCAGATTGATGTGATAGCATCACGCACCTGCACATCCCTGATTTCAATCTCCCGTTTCCCCACATCTCAAAGGTGCTCTGTTGGATTGAGATCTGGTAACTATGGAGACCATTTAAGTGCAGTGAACTCATCATCGTGTTTAAGAAACCAGTTTGAGACTGTGATATTGCTTTATCCTGCTGGAAGCAACCATCAAAAGAAGGGTACGCTGTGGTCATAAAGGGATGGACATGGTCAGCAATACTCAAGCTTCTGTGTTCATGCCTAATTCTGGATCTGTCATCCGAATGTTGCAGTAATCTCAGCAATGTTTTTCCAGTTTTCTAACGTCCAGATTTGGTGAGCAAGTGCAAATTGTAGCCAGGAGTGGCCCCAACTATGGTCTTCTGCTTCTGTAGCCCATCTACTTCAACGTTAGACCTGTTGTGCATTCAAAGATGCTGTTCTGCATACATTGGTTTTAAATTATTAGAGTTACTGCAGCCTGCCTATCCACTCAAAGTAGTTGGGCGTTCCTAATAAAGTGGCTGGTGAGTGCATTACCATAATCAGGATACGTGTACACTGTGTGTAAATTAACAGCACATGATACTATTAAACAGGCGGCATAGTGAAAGAAAATACTTTAATCTTCTGCACAGTGTCCATCAAACATTTTTACATCCTCTGCAAAATATTTTACACCTTTGATTTGCACAGTTCCAAACACAGCTCATCATTACCTCAACACTTTGAACCTGGTCAACAGCCTGAAAAAAAAGCATCTGCATGTTGAAAATTGCCTCCTGAAGCAGCATTTCAAAGACTCAAAGTGGAAGGTTAGTACAAAAAGATCAATTCTTAACGTCTGAATGTTCAATCAGAGCCCACACGGGAGAAAAAAAATGTTTTCAATGTAAAGACAAAAAGTTCAAGTCAGTTAGCTCTTGTGGTTAAACTGTGGCCACAAACATGTAAGAGAAGAAGAAAAGCTGCTTCTCGAGGCACAGCAAGAACGGTCAAACTGGAACTGAATAAGACAGACATGTCCTGGGTACGGTCAGAACGACTTTCTACATACGGGTGGAGGAACTTCCACTTTCAGGTCGGATGCTGAAATTAGAAGTAGCGAGGACAGAAGGAGGAACTGAGATTGTGTAAATTTGTAGTGACAAGCACAGGATGACTTTTGTTTGTACTGCAACTTGGGTTTTATTTTTGTTGTTTGTGGGGGTTTTTTTTAAATGCTAGAAATGCAAAATGTGGAGTAAGTTCTACAGGAAAAGATCCACAAAGAAAAACAGTTTTCCACCTATGGTAAATAATTCCTTTAGTTTGAGGAACAATCAAAAGTGAGCATTTACAAGTTTCTGTCACCACATAAGAGAACCGAGTGTTTACAACTGCAGCAAGCAGAGCCGAACCAGGAAGTTTGCCATGTTTACGGCAGATGATTAGCAGACACACAAAATATGGTGCCCACCGAAGAGGTTCCGGAAAACTACCGCAGCTGTGGTTCTTTTATTAAGTAGTGTTTCATTTATTTCAGTTTAAAATTCATTTCTGTTTAACAACTCACCAAAAAGAACAAGATGCATAAACATCTGTTAACCAAGTGATCAAAGGAACATAGTTACACTCACAGTAACGCCTCAAGTGCTGATTTTACAGTTTATTTAAAAAAAATTAAATAAAAATACAGCTGGCGCACTGCTAGACACAAAGCTTGATAGCCACTGGCAAGAACTACAGAAATAAAACTCAAGTTGTAATAAACTGTTTTTTAAAAAGGTTATAAATGTATAAAAACAGCAGCTTGTCCATTTATTCCTTCTTTCAGTCCTCTTTTCCTGATTAGATTAACAGGGCTGCCGTCCCAGCGTGGATCAGTGGTCATGTCAGCTTTATGTGTACACAAAACAAAAAAAGTGAAAAAAGCTATAACGTTATAGAGGATGAGCATTCTCAGAATGCAACAATGTGGCATCCAAGTGTTTTACACCTGGATTACTAACGTGTAAAGCAGTCTTAAGCTTTGGCTGGACAAGCCTCAAAAAAGGCCTCCTACCTCGGGCACTGGAGCCCTACACTCAGACGCTATTAAGATACATTTTACACTGGATTATACAATGAAGATTAACATCACTACAAAATTTTAAATCTTACAGCGTCCGAGCTCTGCAGTTCCCATGCGTTTAGTAGCTGCTATACCACAGATGAGAGATAAACTAGCCTGTAATGGAATGCAAATGTAGGAAAAACACCCTGAGCTTCCTTTTACTGACCAATAAAAGACAAAGAAAGGATCAAAAAGGCTTAAAGTGGTAATCCGGTCAGGTACAAAGAAATACTGGTGAGAATGTTCCACAGGATGACTGATGGCTGACTGCTCGGTCACACACCCACAGCTCATCAAGCCATCAAATGGTTTACTTTAACAGTGACACTGAAGGAACCCTGAAAGACAGAAGCTCTTGAACCGGAGTGAACTATTGATGCTTCCAGTTCATTTCAGGCAGCACTACAGCTTTAAGAGCGGGCTACTCAGTGAGACTGAGAGGCTTTGAAGTCCTGGTCGTGGAGAAGGGGTTTGTGGTTCTGCTCAGCAGCCATGGCCTGTAAGGTTGCTCTTTGGAACTGCCTGGCTTTGTTGTACAAGAAGACCCCGATGAACACGAGGACGGTCCCGGTGGCGCCGAGGATGGTTACCTGGTTGCTGAACACAATGATGCTCAGCCACACAGACAGGGCGTGCTTAACAGTACTGGCAACACTGAGGAAGAATGAGGATGATTATTACTGGGGCTAACAACAAATTCATCCAGTTTAAACTTCTTAATATGACTTTTATATATTCATATGTTCCTTATGATCTGCATATAAATGTTAGAACGGTGAATTCTCAGATTAAACAGTCTCCAATCTTAATTTCAGCGTACATATAAGTTATCTTCATGACATGTCAGACTGCTTTAAAAGCTCCTTCTCTCATTTTTTTTTTTCTTCTTTCGGCTCTGTGTGATGTCAAAGAAAGGAGCGATCCCTAACATGTTCTCCAACCTCACCAAGCTGCTGTTAGTGGGGCACAACCAATCAAAAGAAAAGGGCTAAATCAGGGGACGCCTTAGAGAGATGGAACTAAAATACCTGCACAAAGACCCGCTATAAACAGTGAAGCATATACAAAATAATCAACTCAAGCTCAAGGAAAAATATATGGAGCTGGAAATGGGCATAGTAGGCCCCCTTTAATAACTTCCAGCTATAGAATCTAAAAGGTCTATATTGGGAAATATACAGTGTTGTGTGCACGAGCTCCTTAAGAGCATTCCCATACTGGGCACGCTCCGCCTCAGCATCTCTGCTGCTGTCTCTAGTGTTCTTGTGCAGAGCACGGTAAAGTTTAAGCATTTTGTGGTTTCACTGAAGCTATTTTGGAATCTGCAGCACACATCCCATCTGTCAGGTGGGATAGGGAGCCAAACACGCTGGACTTTGTGGATTCAGATACGCTCACTAATGGATTGGTTTGTCTATTGTAAATAGACAGCACTGAGGTGCAAATTGATGCTGTGCTGTACTGTACTATTACAGCAGAGAACAGACTTTAGTCAGTGCTGGTGAGATGATAAGATAAGATGATACTGGTGTAACTTGAAAATCTGCAAATGCAACAAGTGGTTATCTACTAAGCTAAGCGTGGGCGGTTCAAATACATCAATTAATTAACTGTAGCAGGAACTATGGCCTCCAAGAAACTCATGGCATGCAGGATAAAGTGCTTCTGACTTTGTGTCCTACCTGAAAGTAACAGGAGAAATCCTTCCCATGAGCGCATAGGCAGTGACGCTCTGCAGGTGGAACAGGCAACCATCGAAAAGCAGCAACAGGATGATGTCCTGACTAAAGATCAAGCTCTGTCCGCTCTTCCCAACCGTGGGGATATCCTGGAAATTAAACAGAACCATCAAGAAAGTTACCCGCTTGTTTTCTTAAGCATTGTAGCGCCTAACAAGTCTGGAAATTAAGAACTTCTGTTTTGCCTCACCAAAAGGAACAGCCAGGCAGGTATGAGCATGATGACTGCTGCCGCACTGGTGTAGAACTGCAGCTCGGGAGGGCTGAAAAAACACAACCAAGTTTAAAAAAAAAAAAAAAAAAAAAGAGCTGTGTGTTTACCCCATCAGCCTTTTACAGCTTAGAGTCAAAAAGCTGCATTAGATGCTTTCACTGAAGTCTTTTAAAGGGTTTAATTATCCATTTTGCACTTGTTTTTCTTCAGTTATGATCATGTACAATGTGCCGTTTGTCTCTATTTGTATGTATGTGCTTTTTGTACACAGGTCTCTCTTGAAAGGCAGACCTCGCTCTCAGTGAGACTACCCGTTTAAATTAAAGCATGATTTTACCTGAATTTGTATGTGTCTCCACTTAGCAGTTTTTTGGAGAATACATTCTGTAAGCTGAGATCAGAGAGACAAGAGTTAGGGCAAAGTAGGGAATACACCGCTGGTGGAAAAGCTGTGCTGTGTGCTGCAGTACCAGTCCATGATGTTGGTGGAGAGAGCAGCGGAGAAGCCGAGCATGTTGAAGCTGATCTCGGTGGCTGTGCAGAGGCCCAGGCCGGCCATGACTGGGAACAGGGACAGATTCACCCACAGCCCTGCACACAAAGGGGATAGGTGAAATGAATCCCCGTGTTT